AGTAGTGATGGGAAAATGAAGCCTCATGAAGCAATGAGGCTTTCCATCCAACTGGGTCGTTCCTGGGCCGAAGCATCATGAGGCTTTATTTGTACTACTGCGCCATCATGTGGAAAATAAATGTCATGACAGTGATTAAAATGAGACCATGGATTTGATGTAGAGGTACGCTCGGGCCAAAAAAATCCAGCCCGACCCAGCCCGAGCCTGACCAATTAACTTGATTTGCAGGCCCGAGCCCGAAGCAAACCCGACATTTCCTATTTCATTTGTGATGACTCGGGAGGAGGAGGGGTGATTTGTGACAGCAAATTAAAGCCTGTCTTTTCCACAAAATCTAAGTTCAACAAGTCTGTATAATTATTTACATCCTTTAAACATGTACTTCTGTTTCAGCAGAGAGTACATTAACGGACAATTTTCCATCATTGACGGATTTTTTTTTTTTTTTAGAGTTGTAGGAAAAATTTAAGGCATTCCGTCATTTGGACGGGTTGAAAATTGGGCCATTCACCACAGCAACTGTACATCTTGAAGAATTGTGTGTGGCACTTGATGAGAGGGAAGCAGCGAGACAAAGAAGAACTGTCATGATTCGGTTTGGGATCAACAGGTGGCACTGTAGGGCTTCCCCTGCAGCTGCACACCTGTTGGTCATTAGGTAATTAGTGCTTTAAAAGGACTCCCCGCCCGACCATTCATTGTCGGTTCATTGTTGCTCTTTGCTACTTGTCATGTTTGTTTGTTGCCGTTTGTCTGCTGCTGTCATGTTTGTTTCAGTCATGTTTTGGTCAGTGTTATGTTTTATCTTCAGTCATGTGTTTTGTTTGATACTTTGGACTTTGTTTGTTTTGGATTTAGTTTTCTGAGTTTTAATACAATCTTTCAAGTACACTCTGCTCCTGCCTGCTTTTTGGGGTCCACCACCACCTTGCAACGTGACAAGAACAATGACGGCTGGATCATAGAGACATGAAGGAGTTCTTTGAATTGTCTTTGCGAGAGTTTAGTACAGTACGCGTTGTGATGAGGCCACTTCTGTTTTTTGGCGAACCACGGTCTCTCGTGGGCGTGGATGGTTGTTCGTATCTGTGTGCCCTGCGATTGGCTGGCAACCGATTCGGGGTGTCCCCCGCCAACTGCCCGAAGACAGCTGTGATAGGCTCCAGCACCTCCCGCGACCCTAGTGAGGATAAAGCGGTTCGGAAAATGAATGAATGAATGAATACATTGAGCCTGGTTATTTTGTCTCATGAAATTATTTTTCATTACATAATAAAAATCTCATTTCTGAAGGTACATTAAATATTGCAATAATGTCCATCGCAATATTCAACATCCATACCACATATTGCAGGGTTTTCAATAACACACTGCCCTAATTGCTATATACCTATTTATAAATGATTAATTACTGTTGCTCTGTGATGCTTATTACTCGTCAGATAATTCTCTCAGATACTATAGTTTGATTTTTCCGTGTACAATATCCTGATATAGAGACACATTGAGGAGGAGATAGTCCTTCTGAGTGATATCTAAGAAATACAGGTGATCCTTTGTGATTTCTGGGTTAAATCCTTCCTGGACCAGCTTCCCCTTCTGCTGCTTAAAAGTCTCAGTCACGTCCAGAGAGGTCTGAAAGAAAGAAAAAAAAAAGATGAGCGAGTAAAGATATGTAAAAATACAAACTGTGGTTGAGAAGGTGACATACCTGGATTCTGAGAAACCACGGCCAGGCAAATGCAGGAAGGGTTTCGACCAAGTGGTCGTAGAGTTTTGGACCATGCAATGTGCGCCCCTGATTTAAAACAATAGCAGCCATGCCAACTCGACCTTCATACCCTGCAATCGATATCACAATGAAAAATAAAAGCCAGCATGTTTCACCAATGGTGCAATAAGTAAAAGTAAACCAAACACAAGGATTCACACAGTAATTTCAGCAGGATTCATTTGGTACAACAGATGGCTTAACAGTAACATAACTTTTTGGGGTTTTTGATTTACCCCCCAAAATTGAATCAAATGAATAAAATTTGATTTAAAAAAATAATACAATTGACTAAAAACATGTTTTTGTGGTTTATTCATTTGACAAAAACATTTGGGTGTTGGGTGTTGCTCCTGTTTTGACTCAATTTGGATTATATTTGACTGAAGGTCGTGTTGGTGATGAAGAATTTGATGGTTGGGTGGATGGATAGTTGAAATGCTTTCCCACAAAAAATTAAATGGAAGATTATTTTTCACAAGATCTTGCTGTGATGCTCGTCATGTGTACAATATCACGTGCAAGTGCAGCAATGAACAACAATTTTACATACCTGGTACTGTGACGCCATAAACATTGGCCTCTTGAATAAAATTGAGAAAACATAAAACCTCAGAAACCTCCATAGTTGACACGTTTTCTCCTTTCCACCTGTATCAGACAGATCTTGAGATGTTTTTGTTCTTTCATTACATTCTCCATTACATCCTTCTATGATGGAGTCTTGACGCATGTCAAAATGTAACGGTAATTGTATCGCTATTATTAAACCCACAAATTAGCCACAGAAGTAAAAAAAACAAAACAAAAAAAAAAAAATCCAGACCACACACAAAGCCAGCTCTGCACAATATGCGGTGAGCAGCTCTTGACTTCGCGTTGTGGTTAGTCATATGTTTTCATGCAGTTAATATTTTTTTCTGTGGTGCTTTGTGTTGGGCCATTTCACTGCTAATATTGTTACAACAAAATGCAGCCTGAGTTTATTGCTAAATCTACAAGGCAGTACCTGAGTTACAAACTCAATTACTTTTTGGAAGAAGTCATTTGTAACTAATTACTTTTTAAAAGTACCGTGCCCAACACTGCTCATCACCCATACAAGGACAGAGAAAATAAACAGAATCTGTCGACTGCAAGGCAGACATGCCAATTACTCTAGTACCATGCTGTCCAGAATACAGTATACTCCAATCAATTACTTTTAAACAGCAGCAAAAGTAGATAATTCACTATATAGATGCAATTTATAAAAAAAATATAAACTCACCAAAAATGTTTAATGTTATGAAAAATATGAATAATCATGTTGACATAGTGACCAGGTGGTAGGAACAGAGGTCACATATGTGATGCCCAAACAGTCCCCAAGTACCACTTGAGTAGCCCATGGGCCTGTTCTAAAAGAAGCTACTTTTTGATGCAATATTGAAAAGTTTTCGCAATGTTGCTGAAGTGATCATTTGAGAATACAGAAAACTGCCTCAGGTGAGGTTAAGCAGTTTGGAAAAGAGATGTAAAATCATGAAATGAAATGTAAAATTTATTCTGACACAAGCAATGTTGACCGGTACCTGAAAGTGTCCCCGATGCGGTCACGAAAGTAAAGAAAATTTCTGTTGTCCTGCATCAGGAGGTCTCCAGTGTTAAAATAGACATCACCCATCACAAACACATCCTTGATCAACTTCTTCTCAGACTGGATCTTATTTCCAGCATAACCCAAGAACGGGTTCAGAACTGTCACAGGAGCAACCAGGATACCGGCATCACCTGCTCAAATAAAATAATCAAAAATGATGTGAGACTAAAAAAACATCTATCAACGTGAGAATGACATAATAGTGTTCATACAAATTATGGAAATTACCTATCTGTGCTCGTACACATCTTCCAGACGATGTTCTGAACGGTTCATATGTTTGTGTGTCATATCTCAGGAGTTCAAATGGTACCGAAAGCTGAAGAATCAGAGATGTTTTAGCACCAACCATCGAACCAATCACATTCTCAGTTTGTCATATTTACCCTTTCAGGGACAGCGGTTACTACAGTGGATAGGTTATCATGTTATGAGGTTACAGGTTATCATGATTGGTGCATGAAAGGGCTAAAGACTGACTACGTGGGAGTATGCAATGACAAAACTTTGACAATTTCCAAATTATTTGTGCAGTATACATTTGCAATACAACAGGTCATATATTAATGTTTTAATAAAAAAAAAAAACATATTTTGTTGTATTGTGACACAGCGCTGAATGGAGAATCATCTGTAAAGAGTAAGAATAAGTAAAAAAAAAACACCTCAGGATTGATGCGAATGGAAGCTTTTTCGAGCTTGCTCCTTTTTGAAAATTATTATGACATACATTAGACAAATGATAAAAGAACCACCGAAACAAACGATTAAAAACCCAACCTTGTTGAAATAGCTTGCTCTCCCAATGGGTCCAACCTCATCGGTATAGTTAAGGAAGCCAATGCTGGCCTCAGTTAAACCATAACCTTCTCTGATGGTGATTGTACGAAAGCGTTTGGCAAATGCCTTCCACACATCTGATCGAAGCCCGCTGCCTGCTGCAAGCCAAACTCTGTGACTGTTCTCCTCTGGAACCTGCATACAAAGGAGGAATATTTCAATTAATCTGAGATAGTGCGCATATGCTGTTAAACATGGAGGAGAAGATGCCTGGCTTGTTTAATTTCATTTTCATAGGCCTGCTCCATTGCAGAATTTGTCATTATTAAAACAATTCTCAGGGATTTCCAAAGGTGCATCATTTGAACTCTTGAAATCCCACTTTTGCTATTCAAAACTTGGTTGATTGAAAAAGTCTAATTACCAGGTAAATGATAGAAATTACATCATTCTCAGACAAACCCTGAACAGCATGAAGAAAAAAATTTGAATTGTGTCATTCAGTTAGCAGAGATGGGCACTCTGTCCTTGGGACGGAACGGTATGCCCATTTTGGGAACGGAGGACAAGATGTTTTTTTAGAAAGGACGGTACTAAGCAAGAATGGTAGTGGGTTTTCGTCCGTCCCTTTAATCATTCCTAACCGAGTTAAAATGTGGTGTCGGGAGGCAGAGTGTTGCCAAGCACTGTATTTTCTGAACAGCACAACACTAGTTCGTACGACGTACGTAGTCGCATTTATAGAACTCTTCTTTCTTTTTCATGTCAACAATATTTCATAACAATGCTACCTAGTGTACAGTCAGAGAACTTAACAAAGTACCGATGGACACCCATTTCACCAACGATCAATCCTGGCGGTTAAGAAAGCTGACTGTATTGTATGTCTCTTGGTGCCTGCCCACCAAGAGACTGACTTCACCTTGACACATCCAATACGGATGCGGCCTCGACGTACCCAAGAAGGCATCTTTCTATATGTAATGTAAATGCTGTCTATGATAATACTTGCTTGTGGTTTTGTGCAACAACCACAAGCACCATTCAGGATGGGATTGGCAATGCTACACGAATATATGGAGCAAAGTAAGTGCTGTCTGTAGGATATTACTTCCCGCCTGCAAAGCCATTGTAAATGAGATGTTCGGACCCGAAGCCGCTAAAGAAATAGCCTGACTGCTGTAAAAACTAAAAACATAGAAAGAATGAGAGCTGTGGAGGAAGAGCTTCCTGTGTCTTTCATCGATTGCTGCCAGATCTATCAGATCTGTGTTCATCCAAACCATTTATCACGCTGAGTGAGAATAAACATGAAAGATGATAAAATATTGGATTTATGTTGACTGGTGCACAGGCAGCCAGCTGTGACCCCGCATGGTCAGATGGTTCATGGAGGCTGAAGAGGCTCTGCGGGACTGCTTCGACTCAACCAGGTGGGAGCTCTTCAGTGAGGTTCATGGGGAGGACAATGATTCACTCACCGACACCATCACGGACTACATTAACTTTTGTGAGCGGAACACCATACCCACCAGGACTGTGCGATGTTTTTCCAACAACAAACCGTGGATTACTCCTGACATAAAGGCCCTCCTAAAGGAGAAGAAGAGGGCTTTTGTGTTGAGAAACAGAGGAGCTGAAGGCCGTGCAGATCCAGCTGAGGAGCAGAATCAGAGAGGGGAAAAAGGCCTACAGGATGAAAATGGAGGACCAGCTACTGGCCAATAATGTCACTGTTGTCTGGAGGGGCCTGAAAACCATCTCAGGCCACAAAAGCCCAATGACATTGACTGAGAAGGACAAAGACTGGGCAGATGAACTAAACCGTTTTTTCAACCGGTTTGACCAGACGTCTGTCCCTCCCCTCAACCACCAGCACCCCCTGCAGCTGCACCCACTCTCACCGTGGACTTTCTACCCTCCACCCACCCACCCACCCCTCCTCTCACGACCAGCTTCCAACAACAAACAACTGCCCTCTCAACCTACACTACACCCCCAACCCCCAGTCTGTCTCCTGGTTCCTGCCTGTCACGACAGCACAGGTGAGGAACCAACTGAGGAGGATGAATATGAGGAAGGCAGCAGGTCCAGACAACATCAGTTCCCAGCTCCTCGGGACCTGCTCCGACCAGCTGTGTGACATTGTCCAGCACATGTTCAACCTGAGCCTGAAGCTGGGCAGAGTTCCACAGGTGTGGAAAACTTCATGCCTGGTCCCAGTGCCCAAGACCCCCCACCCGAAGGAGTTCAACAGCTACAGACCGGTGGCGCTGACGTCTCACCTGATGAAGACGCTGGAGAGACTCGTTCTTGCCTACCTGTGACCGCTGGTGAGCTCTTCACTGGACCCGCTACAGTTTGCCTACCAGCCTGGCATCGGTATGGAGGACGCCATCATCTACCTCCTCCACTGGGTGCTGTTACATCTGGAGAATGCTGGGAGCACTGTGAGGATCATGTTCTTTGATTTCTCAAGTGCCTTCAACACCATCCTGCCCAACCTACTGGGGGACAAGCTGCAGCACGCCGGAGTTGACCACCACCTCACATCATGGATTACAGATTACTTCACAAACCCGCCGCAGTATGTGAGGGCACAGAGCTGTGAGTCGGACAGGCTTCTCTGCAGCACTGGGGCGCTGCAGGGGACTGTCCTGGCTCCATTCCCGTTCACCCTCTACACCTTGGACTTCAGCTACATCACTCCAACCTGCCACCTTCAGAAGTTCTCTGACGACTCTGCGATTGTTGGCCTCATTACAGAAGGAGATGATTGGGAGTACAAGGTATTGACGAAAGACTTCATGGACTGGTGCCAGTAGAATCACCTCCAGATCAACCCCGGGAAAACGAAGGAGTTGGTTGTGGATTTCTGCAGGAAACAGTCCTCACCTGCACCGATGAACATCCAGGGTACGGACATAGAGAGGGTGACCTCCTACAAGTACCTGGGTGTTCTTCTCAACAATAAACTTGACTGGTCTACCAACACGGACGCCCTGTCAGGAAGGGACTGAGCCGCCTCTTTTTACTCAGGAAACTGAGGTCTTTTAGGGTTCAGGGGTCACTCCTTAAGACATTCTATGACTCTGTGGTGGCTTCGGCCATCCATTACGGCATTGTCTGCTGGTCAGGCAGCATCTCAGCCCGGGACAGAGAGAGACTGGAGCGACTGGTCAGGAGGGCCAGTTCTGTCCTGGGCTGCTCCCTGGACACTCTGGAGGAGGTGGGCAACAGGAGGATGCTAGCTAAACTAAAAGCTATGATGGACATTCCCTCCGACCCCCTCCAGCCTACCCTGACAGCATTGGGTAGCTCCTTCAGCCAGAGACTTTTACACCCGCGCTGCAAGAAGGACAGATACCGCCGCTCATTCCTACCGACTGCTGTCAGACTGCTAAATAAAAAATATGTGAAAAAACAGTAACAATTGTAAATAGCACAACCACCTTATGCAGCATATCTGCAGTTGCATAGACCAGGTGTCCTGACTCACGTCAAGCCACGCTTCTCCGTCACGTGACCGATTACGCTTGAAACAAAACGCTGGAGCTCGCACCGTCACGTGACCGATTACGCTAAAAACGCTGGAGCTCGCAAAGTGAGTAAAAAAAAAACTGCTGGAGATCGCAAATGACGGCGGCCTTAAAAGTACGTTCGAGACAACTGGATTAAAGTTATGGCTGTATACTCTGAGATCGCCACAACAGCACTGTTGCTATTTCCGACATACTACCTGTGTGAGGCGGGGGTTTTCTGCAGCAACGCGACTAAAACAAAATTATGAAGTAGACTGGACATAAACCACACACTTGAGGTGTCATTGTCTCCTATTACCCCGAGATGGGACCGTCTGGTTGCAGAAAATCAAGCTCGGTGCTGTGGTGGGTCGTCATTTTCATGCACTTTGAATTTGTGTTGTATCGTATTTTGAAGGCATTAAACATTACCATAGCGATCAGAGTGTTGCGGCCAGATTAGACGCTCCTTGTTTATTATATTTCGAAAACACCTCAGTTTTTATGCAGCTCATACCATGTTATTTTGTTGTATTATTTCCGCCACACCTTAAATGCCGGTCCCTGAAAATATTGTCTGACATAAACCGGTCCTTTGGGCAAAAAAGGTTGGGGACCCCTGGCATAGACGGTTAAATCTATATCTTATATTTTATATTGCATTCTGTACTGTATACAGTTCTTTTCCTGAAACATTTATTTTTCAATGTTAAAAAAAATGCTTATGATTACAATATAACACTTAATTGTTAAAATAAGCTTTTTTCACAATTTCAGCTAGTGGTGTGCCGCGGGATTTTTTCAATGAAAGAAATGTGCCTTGGCTCGAAAAAGATTGAAAAACACTGATCTATTATGATTTTCCTGACCTGACTTGAGATAAAAAGCCCATAATATACAGGAAAACAATTTTCAATAAAATGATACTACTGTAAATAAACTTGTGTAAATATCCAATCCTAGGGAGCTCTATTCTGGAACAAAAAGGCACAAATTAGAATAAAAAAAGGTTGCTTAAATGTCATCTTACCACAGTATGGTTGACCAGATATCGACAGAGCTCTCCAATGTACTGCACCACTGTCACATTGTATTTCACACAGTCCTTCCAAAACTGACTGGCTGAAAACTTCTTCTTTAAAACACAAGTTGCACCTTTGAAACAAATGAAGAAAAACACAGGGCAGAGAAGTAGCATTCAACTACATGCTCTGATGTAGATGCAGTCGTTAGTGCGCTCATTCTGGGTGCATGCTAGTCTAATCCACAGATGTCATTTTCCTGTTTGTAATTGTTATCTGTTCTTTTATGTACCGTATTTTCGGGACTATAAATCGCTCCGTAGTATAAATCGCACCAGCCATAAAATGCATCATAAAGAAGAAAAAAACAAAACAAATATAAGTCGCACTGGAATATAAGTTGCATTTTTGGAGGAAATGTATTTGATTAAATCCAACACCAAGAACAGACATGTCATATTGAAAGGCAATTTAAAATAAAAATAAAAGACTCAACAACACGCTGAATAACTACGATATGATAAGGTGACATGACACATAAACAACAAACTGAGAACATGCCTGGTATGTTTATGTAACATTAAGAGTTATTCAGATAATTACAGCATAACGAACAAACTAACAAGTTTACCAAATCATCAGTGTCACTCCAAACCACTAAATCCAATTACAGTCATGCCTCGGTTTTCGACCATAAGCCGTTCCAGAAGGCTGTTTGAAAAGTGATTTGTTCAAAAACCGAAACTATGATTCCCATTATAGTCGATGTAATACATTTTAATCCGTCTATAAAACAAGTTTTTTTAAAGCATTTTTTTTTTTTACTATTTTACACCATAAACTGTATACACATGTAATAAGAGAACAGGTAATATGTAAAATACTGTACAAACATTTTGTATCTTTTATTTTTCCCAATTTTAACAAACATGAACATTGTCACATAAAAATTAAAGTAACATCTCTCTCTCTCTCTCTCTCTCATCGTGACAATTGCAGATTATATTATTTTACACCTTGAACTAATAAACCCTAAAGTAATGGCTGTAACTATGGACTCTCTCTCTGCAACCCTACGCTATGGTATGAGGTAACATCCCTCCATCCATTTTCTGAACCACTTTATCCACACAAGTGCAGTTTCGTCCATATTAAAAGTTTGCTGGGGAAGATATTCCTCGGCCTTGATAAGATTTTCAAACTGAACTTGAAACTTTTCGACAGGTTCCTTGTCTGAACTGGCTGCCTCCCCATGATGAATGTAGTGAGTGTATCCCACTTTTTTTCCTAACCTTTTCAAACCATCCTCTGCTTGCTTGAAAATCAAACTCCTCAGGATCAATGCTGGGATCCTTTTCTGATCAAATCTCCATGCAATTGTCTTGCTTTGCCACAAATCGTATCTCGGCTAAGACTGTCCCCTGCTGGCTGTTTCTCATTTATGAAAATAAGCAAAAGTTTCTCCACTTCCTCTAATATTTGTGACCTTTGTTTGCTAAACACACGAAATCCTGTAGCCACATCAGTGACTTTAAGATGGTCTTTCTTTTTTAGGATGCTGCTGATTGTCGATTTCGGCATGCGGAACTCCTTAGGCAACACAGACACACGTACACCTGATTCATATTTCGCTTTCAAATCTTTCTTAAATTCAATAGTTTTGCGCACTATTTTCCTCTTTTTTCCCCAGCTTTACTCCTTTCACTTGCTTTCTTTGGTGCCATGATTAGGGACTGATACACAATGCAGAAATAACTGTCCGATTTGCGTAGATGTCAACAAACATGATGCTTTAAAAAAAAAAAAATATTGAACACGTCCGCTGACATTGGACGCTCCTTTTTTAAAAATCTTTATTGAACACATCTGCTCACGATGGAATGCTACACAAGGAAGAGTCACTTCCTCGTCCACCCGAGGAAGCGTCACTTCTTCGTGTAAGGAAAGTGAGAGAAGTCGAGTGGCGCATTCAAGTGCGCTCAGTTTGGTCGAGAACCGATTTTCGTTCGTAATCCGAGGCATAAAAAAACTCCACATTTTGGGTCGAAAACCGATTTGGTTGAGATCAGAGACGTTCGAAAACCGAGGTTTGACTGTAAATCTTCATTCTCGGTGTCACTTTTAAATAAATCTCCGGAGGTAGAAGATGCGGCGCTTCCTCTTAAATGTCGCCCACGTCAGACTCATCATCGATTTATCAACACAGACCTAGAGCGCCCTCTTGCGGTTTAATGTGAAAATAACATGTGAAATTATATAATGCTGCACTGTAATGTGTTAATAATTTCACATAATAATTTCGCTCCAGAGTATAAGTCGCACCCCCGGCCAAACTATGAGAAAAACTGTGACTTATGAGTGCGGAAAATACGGTATATATCGTTATTGTTATGACATGAATTGTTCTCCTTCTTTGGGCAGACCATCCTCCAAAAAGAGACCTTGGTCTCAGTGTGTTTTATTTTCTGGTTAAAAGAAGGTTTTGATTGATTGATTGATTGAGATACTTTGTTGTACACCATACAGAGCAGACCACACACATGCAGACATGCAAGGAAAACGTGATTGCTTAGCTTTGCCTACTGTTCTCAGACGTTCTTACCAAGCTGTATGCATCCTCCAATGCCTAACAGTGAAGCAGACATGTGGTAAAGAGGAAGCGTGATATAGATGATGTCATCAGATGTAGCGCCGCACATCTGAAAGAATGCCATACTCATAATGGCTTTAAGATGACCCACACGTGCTGCCTTTGGGAAACCTGACCGAAAAAGGGACATCATTTACAGCTAAAATGAACAGGTTCACTTCTAACTATTCAAACAGTGGACATAATGTGTGAAGTATCACATTTATGAAGTGGTTCCACTCTGTGAGATGATGGCAGCTGAAGAGTTTACAATGCTAACAGACAGACAAAAACAGGCAGATAGAGATGTGTATTTAGTGGCTTCGTACCCCTTGACCTTTTCTCGATCTTTTCATATTATAAACCCAAACGTGCTCATATTTGGTGGGGGATTTTATGTGATTAATCAACACAAAGTGGTAAATAATTGTGAAGTGGAAGGAAAATGATTTCAAACATTTTTACAAATAAAAATGAGTAAGATGTGGCGTGAGAAAGTATTCAACCATCCTGAGTCAATTCCATTGTAGAATTCCCGTTAGCTGAAATTACAACTGCAAGTCTTTTGGTGTACGTTTCTCAGAGCTTTCGCATTCTCAAACTTTTTTTTAAACCCAGTGTTTTTGCAGAACAGCTCAAGACCAGTCAAAATAAATGATCATCTGTGAATAGCAATACAGTATTCAAATTTTGATTTGAATATTCACAATGGTAAGTCTGGACTTTCTAACACCTGAATATGCTTTGAGCTATATCATGAAATACCAATAAAAGACATTTGCATTTGTGGTAGTAACGTGACAAAAGGTGGAAAAGTTCCCATGGCATAAACACATTGGCAAGCAATAGCTATGAGTATTTCATTTTCATCAATTACTGAATCCATTAAAAAAAAATACAATACTTGTTTTTATACGTCATCTCTCGAGAAAAACACTATTCATTTATATTTGAAACATATTTTAATCATGTCATACCTGTGGTTCCCGATGTAAATATGAAGAGGAAGTTGGACATGATGTCGACTTTGAGTGGCCCACATTTGTTTTCCGTTGACATGTTCTCTACCTTATCCAGTAAACTGATGAAACCCTCACTCACTGGTGAGTGATGTACTACCCACACATTTATGTTGTCTTTCTGCAGGTCAGGCAGGACTACCTTCACCAAATGATCCAAACCTACAAAAACAGACACAATGAGCCATCTGACTTGTTCTCATATTGTTCTCAACTCAAAACTTATATATCAACATAACTATAAATATTTCCCTTGACAAGACTAATAACAGACCAGATGACACTGTTTACACTCACTTGAACAAAAAGTGAACACATATTTGACTGATTTCAAAACTTGTAATCCATCAATTTGTTTTGTGCAATAATACTATGTGATGATTAAACATTAATTCGGCCCTCCAAAGGAAGATGTAACTCCAAAGTGGTGCGCAACAAAAATTAGTTTGACAACCCTGATTTAGAGTGTTCCACAGGAACTGTGTGCATTTCTGCACACTGTGAGGCGGACATGTTAACACACACACACACACACACACACACACACACACACACACACGTTTTATATATA